TAAAAAAAACATCTTACCCATTGAACCCTTCAGATGTGCTCATGATAGGAACTTTAGCAAGTGTGGGCCTTGAATGTTCTCAGTTAGTCGTCATTATAGCCCGGCTCTGAGAACGAACCCTGTTTTTTCATTCATTGACTCAATTGGCGAGAAGCAGCGAAAATTGGTCTCGGGTCACTCACTTTGAGGATGGACTGCCCCACGGAAAATGAACGCATTAAAATACCAATACTTGTATGGGAATGTAAGACGGCTGGGCTTTCTATTAGCGTATAGAAATCTTTGATAAAAAACATAGATCTAGCGATTTTTTGGTAAAAAAAGCACATCTTGTAAACTTGTGTCATCATTTCGGTGAGAGATTCAAGATATTTTAAAGTACCAAAATAACGGGCGATAACTGACCTTTCCAGGGATGTCATTACTATTTTAAAACTCTGTTTCGCCGCGTTGCAGTTGCAATTTTAGTGAAGCGATTTTTAGGACGAACTTATTATCACTCACGCAACATGATGACATCAAATTTCTAGAAAAAAGAACGTTCTCAAAAACATATTTAGAAACAAGAGACATTCAGATTTAACATATAGAAAAGACAGAAAGTTGATTTTTCCAACTGTTTTTATTTTTCTTCAGAAAGAATCATTGTGGGCTGAGAAATAGGAAGAGAAAGAAACAGTTATCGGCAGCTTTTTTCCTGAGACGGAAAATTTTCTACCAATCGGAAGCGTGCGCTTGTGGTAGCTTTTATCAGAGACACTATTTTTAGAGTCTCTGCTTTTACCTAGGCTAAGCCTGTGACGTCACACAAAGGCTATCGTCGACGGAACGTGCTGAGCTGTAGTCAGAAAATCCAAACATGTTGAAAAAGCCGGTTCGGCCTCCCGGTTTAACTTTATACTAGCAGTTCTTCCTCCACATCTGCGGTTCAAACCGGCAGTTTGGAACATGCATAATATGTGTAGCCGCCTTAGTTTAGTTTAGTTTTTTTTTTTACTGCGCTCGCCACTGCATAAGGTGAAAATATGAGTGAGTGAAGCATTCACAAAAGTTGACAGCACGTCTTGGTTTTGGTCAGCGATCAGATTAAATGTTTAAAAATCTCATGTTATAAATTTGGATGGTAAATACTAAATTACAAAGGCTATATAATCAAATAATCACTGCTTCCCTTCCTAATTTAGAAACATTGTCGCAGTCAAATTCACCCATAAACGTAAACTTCATAAATTAAATGTAAAAAGACGTTCATAATCAACAATGAACAGTATGCCTAACACCCTAAACGGTTTCATTGCCACAGAAATAGCCTGTTCATCCCTCTTGGGCCACTCCATAAGCAGTCATAAGCTTTGATTAATTGAGCTTAAAGTGAAACTGGAAGAGTCTCCCAACAGAATTGAAGGGAACATGTGCATGGCAGTCAAAACTGTCTCATTGCCACATATACCCTGTTCACTCCTTTCGGGCCACAGTTATAATCAGTCTCAAGCACTGATTAGGTAAGCTAACTATTACACTGGTCGAGTCTACCTCACAGATGTGAGGGGAACTAACTCCTAATAATCTCTCACTGCTGCGAGAGCTTGTTTTTTCCCCTCGACTTTTTACTGCCCTATAATCAGATCGTGACCTCGATTATGACACAGGCTCGTGGCCGCGAAAGGCTAGACAAAAAACAGCCAAATGTGAAATTTAAAAAATGATAATTGTCATGTTCTACCAAAGAGTTAGAGACTCCCTGGTAGATCTATAACAATTAGATTTAGTACTGACATCTCTGCTTCTTTGCTTTGTGTTTGTGTATTCACATCTAAAGTTAAATTTAATTTTAATTGGAATTGATATTTAATGAGATACTTTCCCGATTATTTTGGCGATTGAATATACAATAATGAATTCCGGATTTGTTTTCATTCACAACTCTGAGTCGCCGCCTCGACCAAGGTTCTTGTGTGATATCCCCAGGCCATATCTGGTCCAGTTTCACTTTGATTACCCTGTCAAACAAGTCAGCCTTCGCCCCTGCTAAAATAACAGAGCAACTAACATTTCATTAAAACAATATATATTTTACTGTAAAGGCCTATGTCTTTATAAAATTGGGAATCAAAATTAGGATCTTTCAAATTTCTACATATATAATGCTGCCTTCTGGTCGATCCAAAGTTCAAATTAAAAAAAAAAATTCCGTTGGTATGTCAATTGCCAAGTTTACGAATTGCAAAAGTCTCGCGTATAAAGATCTCCAGGCAGACCAGGTATGTGTCGGATACTCCCTTTTAGATCCTCACCAACAAGAGGAAGGTGTTGCATCATTTCTGCTCTCCTCTTAGAAATTAAAAATAGATTCCATCGTTCTACCCAAGACAAGACGAGACAACTCTTCTTTACGTCATGTGACAAGCGCAGACCCCTCCCACTTTGCCAGATGCGCGTATAACTCGCTGGGCTAGCGATAGTTTATATTGGTTACAATGCAAGGCTACTGATCATCTCGGGCGGTATGTCTAGCCTAGGCCTACTAGAATTAATATACTTTAGCCCAGAGAGAGTATTTAATTAATAAACGTAGCCTATCTAGATCTAAATCTAGAAACTAGGATCTAGCTAGATCTAATCTAGATTTAGATTCTAAAATCTAGATCTAGATATATCTAGATCTAGATCTAGATCTAGATCTAGATTCTAGTTCTAGAATCTATGTCTAGATTTTGTTGTGCACCCAGCCAAGAGTGCAGTTCGGAAAGTAGATCTATAATCTAGATCTAGATCTAGGCCCCTATTAGTGGTTGGCGAATGACCGAAGTGTCCGAAGGGCGACTCTTGACTAGGCCTAGAGGCTACTTGCCTGTGAATTGGCGGAGACACACTAGATCTATAATGCAACTTGATTCATACTATCATATCAACAGTAGTGATATAGATCTAGAAATCTAGATCTACGTATGCTTCTGTGCTTGTTTCAATGGCTTCTTTTTCGGTGCACCTGTACAATTATATGGTCCCGTTTAATGTTTACATGACGGCCATTATTGTCATGAGGCAGTGAATCTAGAATCTAGATCTAGATTTCTAGATATCTAGATCTAGATGTAGATATCTAGATGTAGATATCTAGATTCTATACATAGCTCCGTATAATCTATTTCTAGATCTAGATCTAGATAGAGATTTTGATATCTAGATCTAGATCTAGATCTATAATTTTAATTCAGTTTAGATACGGAATCTAGATCTAGATCTAGATTTAGATCTAGATTCTAGATATAGAATCTAGATGCATGTATCTATATACATGTATCTATAATCTAGGCCTAGATCTAGATCTAGATCTAAATAAGAAACACCGGGCACTTAGGCCTTGCGTGATTTAGTGCAAACGGGACCGCTATTGTACAGGAGTGCTATTAAATTGTTTCTTAACTTCAGTTCATGATCATTGATTCTGACATTGGGGAACAGCTCGCTGTGTAGGCCTAGTTAATCTAGATCTTGATCTAGACTCTAGATCCTGCTTGAATAGCTTCAAACAGTCCCACAGCTTCTTACCGGGCGTACAAGCAGAAGGAAATATATGGCTTTAGAAAGCCTTCACTTTTGTGGGGCAATTATATAGATTCTAGATTCTCCTTTTTCTCAAAGTCCCATATGACTGGAGACACTTTCCCAAGAAAGTACCCACTGCTGTATGTGACAACATTTTCAAACTGCACCAGGTACTCTACTTTCAGTGACTTGATGAGGTTAGTCATTGGTGGCTGCTCCTCTTTTTGGAATTTATATTATGAGCACACTTAGGTGGTGCAATGTTTGCAATAGCTTATTCTTGGCTAGATAAATGAACAAGATTTAAAAAAAAGAAAAATTTACTTGCGAAAATGATATTTGAGATTGAGGAATCTCCATGTTGTAAAAGAGCATGAGTCTTTCTAAGTCCTTTTGTGGTGGTTTGTTCCTTTCTAGAGTACGGGGATTGGGAACTTTGAATAACACAGGTATGGCTGTATTGCACCTTCAATAATATATTGGTTTACCTTAGCACCAAGAAACCAAGAGTCCGCAAAGTACCCAAGACTCAGAGCAGAGAACTGTCTCAGAAAAGAGACATTCTTGTGACTTGCTCAGCAGATCTTATCTTCACCCTCGTCTGGCACCTCGGACCGTATCTTTAGTTTTTAAAATATCCAATCTATTGTATATTTTGTTAGTAGAGAACAGTTCATTGCAGAGCACCACTGGCTATTCTGTCGTTTTGAAACTGTAATATCTAATGTACTTCAACGGTTTTGTAAACTCCTAGATCTAGATCTAGATCTAAATCTACACCATCATGTCACTGAACATGTTGAACTCACAACCGCTTTCCGTTCATTAAAATCTTTTTTCCCAACTCACTATATTCAAAATGTGAACAAAAATACCAAACAGTTTATATGATTTAAAAAAAAACCCAAGGCAAAACTGCCATTATGAAATTCAAAGTAGATTTAGGCATCTATTTCAGCGAGTTGAACAGTGCGCTCTTTCTTCCTGTTGTTTGTTTACGCTTTAAACGCGCATCTAGCTGGTTGCCAAGGGGAGCCAGTTGGAACGAAAATGAGGCTGTTGTCTCGTCTTGTCTTAGTCCGTCTTGGGTTCTACCACCAGTGGGTCAGGGGATATAAATAGACCTACTGCTTCGTCTGCAGTAGGTGCAACCCCTTCAAAGACGAGGTGTCGCATACAGACCCCATCCCTCTGGGATCCGGCCAACACACCTTTGGCACAGGTTTTCCTCTTAGACGGGAGGGTGGCACCGCGTATGCCACTCAATCGGTTGGGAGCTGAAACCACTTCAGGCCCTGGGTCAATCTTGACGGGAGGGTCTTGCACACTCTTGGAACGAGTATAACTCCGGGGTGGCCCTGGCACAGCTCTGGCTATCCGAGCAATGTGCCGACTTGTTGGGATCGATGGCGGGTGGGGAGCCCTGGAGCTGAACCAACCTCAAACTTTCTATGGATTCAAAAAACACCAAAGACCCTTCTCCAGCTTCCAACGGTACCGGTAAGAAGTCTCGGCTCTCAGAGCTTCCGAGGCAGCCGTACTTGACCATATGCAGCACCGATGTGAGGAAGAAAATCACAGATCTTAACCTGTTTAAGACTGGAAAAGCACTAAGACAAGTTCAGGGATACATTCCTACAAATGTTCAGAAACTGTCCTCTTGTGCACTCCTCGTCAAATGCGCATCGGATGAAGAACTGGCCGGAATGGAAAAAATCACGACCTTCTGCGGTGTTCCTTGTGTATCCGAGCGACACCAAAAGTTCAACCGATCGAAGGGCGTGGTCCGCAGCCATGAGCTGAAGGGCTGCTCCAACGAGGAAATTGTGGCTAATTGCAAAGGTGTGGTCGAAGCCCGCCGGATTACTCTTAGGCAGGGGGAATCCACACTCGAAACGAATGCGATGATTCTAACTTTCGATTCGTGCCTCCCTCCAGCCACCGTTCGGGCATCATACTTGGTCGTGGACGTGCGACCCAATGTGCCAAACCCTATACACTGTTTAAAGTGTCAGAAGTTTGGCCATAGCCAGTCGCGATGCCGACGTGCAGCCGTGTGTAATCGCTGCGGCAAGACTGGGCATATTGAAAAGGAATGCAAGGCTAGACCTTGCTGCCCAAATAGCCAAGGCCAGCACACAGCCTTCAGCAAGGATTGCCCGACTTGGATCCAAGAACGCGCAATCCTAGAGCACAAAGCGCGAAATGGCTGCTCCTTCCAAGAAGCCCACAAAGCTGTCTGCACGCCGGACATATGTCAAGGTACTCCGGCCAGTCATGAAGTCAACCAGTACCTCTACTGCCGACTTCCCACAGCCCGCAGTCAACAAGCGAGTCTGTAACAAAGTCAAAAAAGGTTCTTCCTACCCCTGTGGTACCTACCTTTGAAGTACCACTGACTAACCGCTTTGGGGTATTGGAGGAGGACGGGATGGACTTTTCCTCCGCCCCCCCCTTCTCTCACTCACCCCTCTTCTTCTTCTTCTTCTTCTTCTTCTTCTTCTTCTTCTTCTTCTTCTTCTTCCACCTCACAGCACATCCCTCTGATGGAGTGTGAAGTGACCCCTCCCCCCTCTCCCCAGCCTCCTTCCCCCTTTCCCAACTCTGTGTGCCCCACCTCCCACTACCCCTCCACTCCCACTATTACCAACAGAGGAGGACATCTCTGAACCCCCCTCCCTGGCCTGACCCAGGGAAAGGTGGAGTCCGTCACTCCTTCAAATCCCCCACTAGGCCTCCGTCCAATACAGGACGGCAACCTAGACAACACTCTGCCTCCTCTGCAAGGAGAAGTCAGTGTTAATTCGGAGCCGGGGCCTGCGTGCTCTCAAAACAAAATTAAAAAGGCATAATGGCAGTCCTGCAATGGAATGCCGGCGGAATCCGACCTTCTATTGCAGAATTACAACACTTGCAGGCCACATTGTGCCACTTCTGGCTTGTATACAAGAAACAAAATTCGCCCCGGCTTCGACCACAGACTTAAGAGGATTTACTACATATCATCACATTCACACGGAGAACCAGATTGCCTCCGGTGGTACCACCATCTTCACCGACAACAACACACTCCACAGAGAAATACATCTTAGGACGACTCTCCAGGCTATTGCCGTACGGGTCACCCTGCACAGACCAATCACGATCTGCACAGTTTATATCCCACCAAATTACCCCCTCAAAATAACCCAACTAAATAACTTAAAGACCCAGCTTCCAAAACCCTTTATTTTGCTAGGTGATTTTAATGCACACAGCTCCCTTTGGGGAGACAAACCTTTAGACCTGAAAGGAAAAATAATAGAAGATTTTTTAAATTTCAAAATAACATCTGCCTCTTAAATGATAACCAACTTACAGAAACAGAGCAACTTTTAGCACTTCATCCCTTGACCTCACCTTTTGTACCCCTGACCTAGTACCAGATCTTGAGTGGTCTGTGCTGGATGACCGTACGGACCATTTCCCAATTCTTCTAAAAAAACCAATAGCCTCCTAAACGACCCGATCCCAGAACGCTTCAACTTCAAAAGAGCACACTGGGACGGGTTTGCCGCTGATAGTTCCCAGATTCTGAATCCCAATTTCCACCTCAACTACACACAATTCCACGAAAAGCTTTTAGAAATATGCCACGAACACATACCAAAAACAAAAACAAAACCCCGGAGGAGCAAGATCTTGTTCTATGAGGACTGTGATGATGCAGTAAAGAAAAAGAAGGTGGCATATCGAAAGGCTGTCGACACCACCACCACAGAAAATAAGATAAATTATTTAAAGGCTCGAGATGAGGCACGTAGATGGATAAGAGGAATAAGACAATCATTCCAAAAATACATCCCCAGAATCAACAGCCAGACACCACTCAACAAAGTTTTCAAAATCGCAATAAAATCCTTGGGTAGACGCACAGACACCATTCGGCACGTCCAGAGACCGGATGGAACAACAGCTGAAAGACAGGTAGACATCGCAAACACAAACGCGCAGTGTATTCTTCAGCCAAACCCGCTTCCAGCAGCGCGTTTCTGAGAATGGTACTGATTGTTCCCGCACCCATAACCTCATAAATGGGGGTTGAGTGACACAAACACATGTGTATCCGGCAGTTTACTGTCAGACCAATCAGCTGATCTCAATAACTTGGCAGTGCGATTCATGTACGCATGTAAACACATGACAGGATCCGTCAGAGTGTCAATCGTAGGACGTCGTATTTTTTATCCCAAAGAACGTTATGGGTTCTTTGCCGTCGTCATGAAAGACAATTTGTCGACGACAGAAACCCACACGCAGTGCTATATCAGATGGTCTAAACATTGCTGTAAGACATAACAGACAAATGCATTTTTGTCTCAATTTGCAGGACGTGGGGAAATTGTTAGGTCCCCAACTTTGTTCATATCAATAATAGGTTCTATCTGATTCTGAGGTACAGGGCACTGTGTCATTTCTTTCACAATCGCAAGCATGCGATTATACAGGACAGGACCTTTGATACAACAGTCAAGGGCATCATAATATAGTACTATCGCAGCCCAGGCCATTTAAATTAATGATTAAGGCCTACTGGACCTTGAGGCTAGTTCATGCAAAAATGCAGCAACATATGCTTGTCTGTCCACTGATAAAGGGGGAAAGGCCTGATATTTGACAATACAATTTTTTGGGTATTTAGTCAGATACAAGTTGTATTGTTCAAGCGTGGAATGCGCCAAAAAGTGCTGATAACACTGGGAAACATTTATTGGCCAATTATTTGCATTAAGTTTATCTTCCCAGATATTCTCCAGGCGTACCATTTCCAACTCCGGTTTCGAAGTGGTTCTTAAATTTGTAAGCCTAGAGGCACACAAAACATGTGCTTTAGGAAGTTTTATTGCTGGAGCTACCGACAGCAGTTTAAATGTTTGGTACCAATGTGTCGCCTTCCAAGCCGGAGCAATAACGGTGGCCTGAGCCTTTTGTTGCATAACTGTGGTCAAAACTTTGTTCATTTATCTAAGAGGTGGATTTGCAAAGTGTTTTCTCTTCCCTAATTCATCTGTGAAAGTGCGTATATCCCACTGGTCATGGGGTCTGCATAAATCGAGTTGTACGTTTTGCAGTGTGTACTTAGAAAGGAGGCAAAGCGGTCGCATGTGTGAGGTCCCCATATTATCCTGTCTAGATAATTGAATAAGTGTGCAGGGGCGAAGGCTGACTTGTTAGACAGGGTAATCAAAGTGAAACGGGACTAGATATAGATCTATATGGCCTGTAGATATCACAGAAGAATCTTACTCGAGGCGGCGACTCTGAGTTGTGAATGAAAACAAATCCGGAATTCATATTGTATGTTCAACCGCCAAAATAATCGGGAAAGTATCAGTTCCAACTAAAATTAAATTAACTTTAGATGTGAATACATAAAAACAAAGCAAAGAAGCAGAGATGTCAGTACTAGATCTATATGTTATAGACCTACCAGAGAGTCTAACTATTTGGTAGAATATGACAATTATCATTTTTTTAATTTCACATTTGGCTGTTTTTGTTAGCCTTTCGCGGCCAGGAGCTGGTGTCATAATCGAGGTCACGATCTGATTATAGGACAGTAAAAAGTCGAGGAAAAAAAACAAGCACATGCAGCAGTAAAGAGATTGTTAGGAGTTAGTTCACCTCACATTTGTGAGGTAGACTCGACCAGTGTTCGTTAGTTTACTTAATCAGGGCTTGGGATTGATTATAACTGTGGCCCCAAAGGGGTGAACAGGGTATATGGGGCAATGAAACAGCCATGACTGCTATGCACATGTTCCCTCAACTGTATTGGTAGACTCTTCCAGCCTCACTTTAAGCTTACTTAATCAAAGCTTGCGACTGCTTATGGAGTGGCCCGAGAGGGGTGAGGAGGCTATTTATGTGGCCGTGAAACCGTTTTGAATGTTAGGCATACTCGTTGTGGATTACGAACCTCTTTTTACTTTTAATTTAAGAGGTTTACGTTTAAGGATGAATTTGACAGCGACAATGTTTCAAAATTTGGAAGGGAAGCAATGATTATTTGATTATATAGACGCTTCGCCCCTTTAAGTGTGTATGTATCCTCCACTTATATTTGCTTGACAGGCGGCTCAGGTAGTCTGCCACAAAGTTTTCCTTTCCACTTAAGTGTTTGGCTTTCATCTCTATGTTATGTTCGAGTGTTAAGGCTCATATATTGATGATTTTTGTGATAGCAGCTGACTGATGCCTTACGTTGTCGCTTAAAATCAACCCTCATTTTCCTTTCCGTTGCGCAAGAAATGCCTGCAAACTCATGTAGACCGCCACCATTTCCCTTTCGTACGAGTGCTTTAACCTCATGGACGAACCCCCAAAACCCTGAGCATAGCTATGACGACCTTAGCCTCCGTCAGTCCTGACCCCCCCCCCCCCCCTCCCCAGCCTTCCTGTGATGCATCGGTCTCGATTGTCACATAATCTGTACATTTTAAAGAGAAAGATTTACCACTTCCAATGGTAAAGGGCCTCACACCACCATTCTAAGTCTTTCTGTACTGGCTCAGTTAAGTAAAGAGTATCTTGCCAGCTGGACTTCTGTGCTAGAAAGCGGTATACGTTCCCCAGAAAGAGTTTTGTCTGTATTATTGCCTTTGTCGTTGAAACCAACTGACCCGCAATTCTTGCCAAAATTCTGCCGTGTTTAAGAGCTCTTTTTATGTCTCTTTTAACTTTACTGATACGATCCTTTGGTAGAGTCAAATGAATTGAATTTTCATCCGCATTTGTTTCGATGACAAAGTCAATAATTAGCACCTTTTATGAAGGTGTTAGACATGACTTTTCAAAATTTATTTGAAGTCCAAATTTTTGTAACTCTTCAAGCACAAAATTCCTTTGGCTTTCAATGTTGAGTCTGTCGCAATTAGATCTACTCCTTCTGGTCCCAAAAAACTGATAGCATCACTTTTCCCCTTGATGGCTGCACCTTTGCCTTCTTTGGTGTTGGAGACGATGCATTGATTGATGCAGATTTTGACTCAGGATCATAGTGGTGGACCCAGGTCTTATCCATCCTTTTTATACAGACTAAGCAATTCTTGAGAAAAATCTGCCTGTTGCACTTTTTGAGGAGGAGTCAACAAACATGAGACCCGTCTCGCAGAAACCTTGTCCATGTTCAGATGGTCATTTAAGATTCATTCAAGTGACCCAATGCTAAGCCTAGTTTCTTTGCTCACTTGTTCGACTGTCACCCGCCTACTATCAGACAACACACGTTTCTTGATTTTCAACACATTCTATTCTGTAGTTGATGTCACTGGGCGACCATCACGGTGGTCATCTTCAATGTCAATGAATCCGCATCTGAATTTTCTACACAAAATTTTTATCACAACATAGGATGGGCAATCCGTACCATATACCGCGTGCTTTTAAGTAAAATTATCAAATTCAACATTGCCACTCCAAAAGTACATCTCTCTCTCTCTCTCTCTCTCTCCCCCCCCCCTCTCTCTCTCTCTCTCTCTCTCTCTCTCTCTCTCTCTCTCACACACACACACACACACACACACACACACACACACACACACACACACACACACACACACACACACACACACACACACACAAAATGTAATAGCTTGATAATCAAGTACGTGTCGGCAGTCGGTTTGTTTGATTTATAATTTATTTATTGTGCCGTGCTAGAGTATGGAAAGGAAAGGAACTTCCAATTACGGTCCATTGAAAACCACAGGAACAGTGAGCCCGCCATCGCTGGTGTTGATATCTCCAGTGATGAATCTGGCGGCATCCGAAGCGTAGAACGAGACAACCTCGGAGATGTCTTCCGGGGTGGCGTTAAAACCAAGGAGGGAAGAGTTTGCGCATGCTCCAAGAAGCTTGGCATTTTTAGTAGGGAAGGGTTGGGCGGAGGAAGGCGTCATGGGGAAAAATCAGATGTTACTTCTGGCTTCAAGACGTATCTGAACTATGATAATGAATATTAATTGGACTAACTACTACTACTACTACTACTACTACTACTACTACTACTACTACTACTACTACTCAGCGAGCAGAACATACTCTTGACTAGGTTATTATAAGACAGTCTGACAACATCTTCAAACAGGTCAGCGTTATGAATCAACTAATATCCGACCACTACACTATCTTGTTGGACCTCGACATATCAAAATCAAAATCAAAGAATTTAAACGTAAGATCGAGGAATCTTAGACAGGTAAATGTGACAAAATTCAGATTGGACATCGAAGCTTCCATGACAATTCTGCAGGAAGTCAGCATTGACTGCATTAACCAGGCAGTATCAGAAGTGCTCAATACTCATGCACCCTTAGTCTTCAGAAACATCACAGAGAGGCCTTACTCCCTTAGGTACACTTAAGAGGTGAAGGCAGCAAAGACGGCATGCGGCACAGCGGAGCGGAAATGGAGAAAGACTGGAAATGTGATTGATGAACTATTTTTCAAAGACAATAAGACAATATGGAAACGAACCATACAAACCTCAAAGAGAAATTACTTCACATCGAAACTCAAAGATTCTAGAGCCTGCAGCAAACAGCTTTTTGGACTTTGTGACGAACTTTTGGGAAATAGCAAAACACGATCACTACAAAAAATGTAGACGACAAGGAATTGCCAGATATGGTTCTCAAATTTCTTTTTTGGAAACCCACAGATATTAAGAAACTGCCTTTCATTATATTTTACGTCCAATGGCTTTTCAGATTTCAATGGAACACCTCTGACCTGTTTTAAAAGTGTAACAGAGAGTACTATAAAACAACTTATTTTAGAAGCACTAAAGAAACATAGTGAATTAGACCTCTTTACTGACTGCCTGTAGCGATGTGATAGTGCCTACTGTTATCAAAATCATCAATGATTCTTTAAAAAATATAATACATGTAGTACCAAATTATTTCAAAAATGCCCTAGTAAAACTATTGTTAAAAAAACCATATCTTGACCAAAACCAGCTGAAATACTATAGACCAATTTCGAAACTTCCTTTTCTCTCTAAGATCCTTGAAAAGGTAGTTTAACCAACTACAACAACTTTATGTCCATTTAAAATCAAACACTCATATCGAACCCTATCAGTCAGCTTACAGGGTTAATCACAGCACAGAAACAGCGCTGCTAAAAGTTGTAAATGATATCGTCATGGAATCAGATCCTAGCAAAGTTGTAATTCTAAATCTAATAGATCTGTCGGCAGCATTCGACACCAATGGCCATGTAATTCTACTAAAAGATTAGAAAAAAACAACAAACAACAACATTGGCATTCATGGTTCTGCTCTCGAATGGTTCAACAACTATTTGTCAAATCGCTACCTATCTGTTGTGATAAAAGACGTCAAGTTGCAAAAGGGCATTCTTAGGTTCAGTTTTAGGCCCAATCCCTTTCACAATGTATACACAGCCACTTGCTGTTTGAAAGACGAAAGTATCAACTTAGCTACCATTTCTACGCTGATGACACACATATATTTCTTTTCACCCATGCGACACCGATGAATTCATAGAAAGAGTCGAGAAATGCATTGAAAGAGTGACAAAATGGATGCGGGAAAACAGATTAATGCGGAATGAAGAAAAAACAGAAACCATTCTATTTGGGAGTTGAAAAAACCTTAATGATGTTAAAAACCGAAAATAATAATAATAATAATAATAATAAATAGCATTTATACTGCGCATTTCCATTTCCTAAAAGATGCTCAATGCGCATTACAATGAAAAAGACATCACATCTTAAAAATTAATCGACACAAATGTGTACGTAAAACAAAGTATTATACATATAATATAAATGCATATGTGTAAAATTTTATACCAGAAAAACAGTCTCGCAGTGAGGTTGAAAATGTGTTCACTAAAAATATACAATGCAATATAAATTCACGAACAGTCATACTAGCATATCCTTTTCCAACAAGGTCAAGAATTTAGGCATCTTTTTAAAATTCAGATATGTCCACGAATAAACCAAGTAAATCATGTTATTCGATGTATATACCTTGATCTCAGGAGAATTAGTAAGATATGGCACCTTATTTCAACCAATATTGCGCGCATGCCCTCTGCCTCTCTTGTCTTGTCAAAACTTGACTACTGTAATTCTGTTCTGTCTGGTATTTCGTGTGAACGAATGAGGAAATTGCAAATGGCCCAAAATAACACAGCAAGGGTAGTGCTGAAGAAAAAGAAGAAAGATCCTGCATAAATAATGTTAACAGCTCTGCATTTGGTTTTCCGTAGATAAAAGAGTCCAATATATTAAGTTTCTACCTTCTGCTTTAAATGTCTTTTAAAGCCCCATCCTATCTATCCGAGCTTTTGACACAGTGTGTTCCATCTCGTCAGTTACGCTCCTCCACAGAAGCAACTAAATTCAGAGCCCCTAGAATGAAATTACGATCTTTTGCTAAGGAAAGTTTCTCATTTTTTGGCCCAAAAATCTGGAACACCTTGCCCCAGGATCTCAGAGAAACAACAAATTTTGATAAGTTTAAACGATTGCTCAAGAGTGTGTCAGTAAGTTCAGATTTTTTATAATGTAGAAATATTATTTTTTGTCCTTTCGTATATATATAGTCAATGTATGGCTGTGCAAGTTCTTATTTATGTGGTTAAACTGGTTTTTCTTGTTTCTGTTAAATATTTTTTCTTGTGTGAATAATTATGCGACTGGTGTAAAGCGCTCAGAGTTTAAACAAGTATGGGATAGAGAACTATACACATGTAATTTACACTACTACTACTACTACTACTACTACTACTACTACTACTACTACTACTACTACTACTACTACTACTACTACTACTACTACTGCTACTACTACTACTACTACTACTACTACTATTATTACTATTATTACTACTACTACTACTACTACTACTACTACTACTACTACTACTACTACTACTACTACTACTACTACTACTACTACTACTACTACTACTACTACTACTACTACTACTACTACTACTACTACCACTACCACTACCACCACTTCTACTACTACTACTACAACTACTACTACTACTACTACTACTACTACTACTACTACTACTACTACTACTACTACTACTACTACTACTACTACTACTACTGCTGCTGCTGCTGCTGCTGCTGCTGCTGCTGCTGCTAGTGCTGCTACTGCTGCTACTGCTGCTACTACTACTACTACTACTACTACTACTACTACTGCTACTACTACTACTACTGCTGCTACTGCTGCTGCTGCTGCTGCTGCTGCTGCTGCTGCTGCTGCTACTGCTGCTGCTACTGCTACTGCTGCTGCTACTGCTACTGCTACTACTACTACTACTACTACTACTACTATTACTACTACTATTTGACTCAAGACACTTTACATCAGTTCAAAATTTACTAAAACTTACTTTTTCCCAGTCTCAGGTCCTGAAAACGCTAGATCTACCAAGGCCCCTCTCTAAAAAATACGTTGTGAGAACGTTAGAGGCTCAGCATTATGTTCCTTAAAAAAAAACCCCACAATGATCCATACAAAGCGTGACCGAAGAATTTCACTTTTTGCGAGAACTATTGCAACAAAAGCTCGAGATTTATTTGTGGTCGGGTATTTTTTCTGTTTGATTGTGTCCGAATCGTTGAATACACAATCCTAAACACTATGTATCACGGAGCTTTTCTTTAAATTTCAGTTAGGGGCAAATTGCTTATTATTTTGCATCTATTGTTCTGGATGATATCCAAAAAAATTTACCAGTGTTTGTGGTGTAACGGTGCAGCGCTTGACATCGCTCACAGGATTCCCGTGTGGGGAAAATTTATCGAGAACCAGAAATTGGGGTGACTAGTGGCTAAGGCATCTCGGGGTGACTAGGGCATGTTGTAACTGGGAAAATGTTATGATCTATTTTTAAAAATATCAAAACAGATTCCAAATGGTTTTGCAATGCATTACCCAGAAGAGTAATCAATTTGGGGTGGATTGACATAAAAATAGCCCAGTATGAACATTTGTGACGGATCTGAGGCTTGTTTTTAAAATGACTACCGTTTGCATTTGAACTAGATCTAGACCTCTGCAAAATTCCTTAAAGACTTGGTGAGTACCTCCTGATCTATTGCATTTAAAATGTTTCAAGTTGAGTATTAGGATCTCGGATAGTCATATGAGCCGTAGAATTCGTGTATTTGAAAGAAAATATGTCAGTTAATGTTTTGAAATGGGGTGCCTTAGTTACCCCGGTATCCTTTGACATGGTGACTAAAGTGCTCTGAGCTGATGCCTGTATCTGGACTTGCAAAGTTATGTTTTGCGATTTTCATATATAATATACAATTTGTAACTTTGTAGAAATATAATATCTTTTTTCCCCATCATATTAGGGTCTCTTATGGATTAGAGATACATATGCGTGTTCACTTTTCAGGATCGAAAACGGGCTGTATCACATGTATTTGTTAATCTTTATCACAGATCTCGCCATAGGCCGATTTTGTTACGGTATCGATACGTGTACTTGTTCTACTATCCGTAACTTTTGATCTTCCTGTCACATTGAAAAAATATAGACCACTGACTTGACAAATTGCAATGAATATTGTATAAATTTGATTTAAAACTGCAGTATTTTTTTCCTGACCAATTACACATTGAAAAGACAGCACGCCACGGATAAACAATTCTAAGCTTGGAGCACAAGTATACGACAGAACTTTTGATGATGTACCCTCATAAGCACGTGACGAACATTCTGTTGAGAGAGACACACACAGAGAGAGAGAGAGAGAGAGAGAGAGAGAGAGAGAGAGAGAGAGAGAGAGAGAGAGAGAGAGAGAGAGAGGGGGGGGGAGGGTGACATGCGGCTGAAAAAAGAATGTAAATCAAAACAAAAAAAAGCAAATGAACTCCAAATAAGGGGGAAAGTTTCTGAAACATAAAGAGACTTGACGGATAAAAATATGATTATTCAAACAGGCGTCTCGAACATCAGGTTCATTTTAAATTGATTGAAATATACGCACTGAAAAATCCCGTTCTTGGTAATGAGCTTTTATTACAAGAACCTAGTGATAGATGATTAAAGGTATTACGTGTAGTGACGGGAAATGCAGTCACGTACGTCGCTGGTGGAATATTATCATGTATATTGTGGGAAATGCGTTACATGGTGTAGCAAAAAAGACATAATTTAGGTATCCGCCCTTGTGTGTGTGTGTATGTGTGTGTGTGTGTGTATGAATGTGAGGTTCGAACCCCAAAAACCGCAATCTGACGATTATGAGTCCGGCAGAATAACCACTTGGCCAATGACGCCACTATAGCTATAATAAATGCAGTAGGGGGGAAATAACATACATTTCTAACCACACTAGCACCAGAAGTGTCTCATTTTTTCCCCTCAAGGTTCCCGATCAAGTATCCGGAACCAACACATTCGATCAGAATCCGGTTTCATTCTTTTCGGAAATCAGAAAACCCAAGAGATTACGGAAAGAAATCCCGAAAACTCCAAAATGTGGCGCACGCCTTCAATTTCTCCATGGGCCTTTTCCCCAGTCAAGAACTGCGATCGCGCTCTTTCTCTTAAATCCGTATCACTTCATCAAACTTTTCAACGCGAACAGACTCGTAAAAAAAGAGACCAAACGAAGGGCAGACGTTGTCTTGAAAGTTGACGCGATATATTCCCTCCGAATCCTTGCACGCCCGTGGCCTTGTTCCTTAGATTGTAGGCCTTGTCGTTAGATTGTACGGCTTGTGCTTAGATTGTAGGCTTACTTACCCTTATCGAACATGTTGCTGTCTCTATCGCGGTTCTGAGACGCGTAAATCCCTGTTTTTGCTGCCTTATCTCAGGCATAGACTTCTTGGAATGTTTACCGTTTGTTCGCCTTGATCTGTACACAGGGCGCCCTCTATGTGTTAAAGTTGCATTGGCAGACATAAATGTCAGCGCTACACAGATTGTTGGCATAAAAATAAAATATTTATGTAATATGTTCGGTTTATTTGGGGAATTTTATGTCAGCATTTCTATTCATAAACATTCATTTTCTGGATGAATGTTTTATTTTTAACCTTCTGTTTGCGCGTACTTTTGCACTTAATTTTGTTTTAAAATATCTCCCCTGTGAACATTTTCAGCGTCTCCGACTTAAAAACCCTCCGTCTTTTTTCGATTTTATTTTGCGCGGATTCTACTGTAACTATGATTTTGTGGGTTGTTGTTTTTTTAATCACACTGCTGTTTATCCTTTTCTTAAAACCGATTGTTTGGTTGTTATACGGTTAGCATTTATGTTCATTTTCTTAAAATTTGGGAGTGGGCTCGCGTAACAGGAAAAAATAGGGAGGGGGAGGGGTGTGAGTTAAATGTCAGAATTCAGAAATACTTTTGTCATTTGGGTCATGGGGTTGTCATTTATGTATTTATGTGGCTAGGATTTTAATTTTTTTTAAATAAAAATTTATGTTTCCTTTCCTGTAGGAAAATATTATTTTCTCCTGAAAAAAAATCTCCAACAGCCTACTCGACTCTCTGTTTAGAATGAAAGCCGCCACCCACTCTCGAATGTCATGTTTCACGGTTCCATTATACTCTTCCGTTCC